CATATATTCAGAATCTCGTTTTAAAAAGCTATTCCCCCCTCCGACACCATTTTAAAGAACCGATAAGTTCAAAACACCTGGGGAATGGCTTATTTGAGAGTAGAACTGAATATGTATAGAATTTTCGCTTTGTATCTTAAATACCAAATGTTAAATTTGACAAGAGGAACATGTGACTCACGACAAGTAAATTTGAACAAATTTCAATTTACCGTAACATCTGAAAAATTTTTTTTCAGTCAAGATGAACTTTTCAGAATTGATTTGTCTCCAGAAAAACTGTCATCAATTGAAACGTCACCAAGACATAAGATGATGCCCATGGTGACTTTAAAAATACTCCGTGATTTGATATGGAGCCACACGCGCACAGATTTTATTATGGTGATTTTCCAACTGCAGCTTAGATGTGACACAAGGCCGAATGTGTGGAGCACCTAGTGCGAATCGAACTCACTACTCAATCGTAAATGATGTCATATTTTATTATGCATATTAATGATTTCACAATAAAATTGAAATAAATAAAATAAAATAAACCAGTAAAAATGAATAAAATAAAATATATAAACAGTTTAAAAAAATTAAATATATCAAAATTTAAATCAATAAATTATTGAAAATAAAAAAATAAAATAAAAATGTGTTAAATAAAATTTGACAATCGATATTTGTAATATTTTTACATGCGTTCTACTTATTTTATTTTATTTTAAATTTTGTTTGTAATATTTTAACAAACAATATTTGTAATAGTCTATATTTTCATAGAATTAAAAACCGAATGTCCTGTTGGAGGAAAATGTATATCCGAAAATGTGGTGTATGAGGCATCTGTCTTCCCCGAAGAAAATGTAAACCTGAAGAAGATCTACATTGGAATCTCTACAGGAAATTGGAAACAACGCCTATATAATCATCGACATTCCTTCAAAAATAAATACCGAAAAAAAAAAAAAAATTATCCAGACACTGTTGGGATCTAGTTGACAATAGCCTCACGCCGCATTTGGAATGGAGGATCATATCAAAGGCTTGAACTCCTAAGAACTTCCGAGAACATTGTGAACTTTGTATCTAAGAAAAACTATTTATAATTAAATATAAAAAACCGGAGGAGCTACTGAACCTTCGTAATGAACTTATATTCAAATGCAGACATAAACATCGTTTTAAAATATAAAACAACTTCTCCCTTGAAAGAGTTAATTCTTCGAAACTATAACATCACATATGACAATAACATTTATTAATACATGAAAACACTTTTATATCATTATATGAATTGATGTTTATGTCTATGTTTATATATAATTATGTTTATATGCATTCTTGTATCTATGTGTGTATATGTATAGCTGTATGTATTTGGATTTAGGGGTTTGTTATGTGTGTGTGTGTGTGTCTGTATGTGCGGGTATATTTGTATATGTATATGGGTGTATGTATGGATGTGCGTGTATATGTATGGATATGTATATGTATAGATGTATGTATATGTAGGTATATATGTATGCATGTGTACGTGTGTATATGTATATATATATATACATGTATGGTGTGCACCTATGTATGAAAATATGTACATATTTAGGTATATATATATATATATATATATATATATATATATATATTTATATTTATATTTACATATATATTATCTATATATATATATATGTGGGTGTATGTGTGAGATTGTATCTATATATTGTCTTTAACACGTGTTTATATTTACGGATGTTTATATTTTATATGTTTTTTCATATATATATATATACATACATACATACATACATATATATATATATATATATATATATATATATATATATATATATATATATATATATATATGCATGTATATATATATATGAGTAGAAAAAACGATAAATTTATGTGTGTATATATGTTTTTATATATGTAATGTATACGTACTGAGGTGTTGTGTGTATATACGTGGATGTGTGCATTCGTATATATATATATGTATATATATATATATATATATATATATTATAAATTAATTGATTTAAAATATGTTTTTTTCGCTACACAGTTCTAACCATGTTTCAAAAAACTTGGTTAGAACTGTGTAGCAAAAAAAAAAAAAACATATTTTAAATCAATTAATTTATAATATTAATGCTCTGTAAATTTACATTGAGCACTATTTTGTAAAAATAAAAATATCTATAAGAACACCGGATTATATATCTTACAGTTCTTTCTTTTTATTTATACACACACACACACACACACACACACACACACATATATATATATATGCATATGGGAATATTTTTTGTATGTATTTGGATTTATTGTGTTATTTAATATATGCGTATATACAGGGTGTCCGTAAAGTTCGTGTGCACTTTAAAAAATTTACAACTTTATTTGTATTTGCGATATAAATAATTTGTAAAAAGGATTACAAAGAATTAAATCTATATTTTTTAAGGTTTTATTGAAATTTCATTTAAGTTTCCACATGTCCTCCATCATTAGCAATACAAAGAGTAATACGATTTTGCAGTTCACGGAAAACATTTGCCAACTAATTTACAGTAATGCCTGAAATCACATTAGTTATTTTAGCTAAACTTAAAACTAGGTACATTAAACTTTATAACATTTTTACAGATTATTTCTATCGCAAATACAAATAAAGTTATAATTTTTTAAAGTGCACACGAACTTTGTGGACGCCCTGTATTTGTTACTTGTTATTTATTTATACACATGTGTATAGATATTATTAATATATATATATATATATGTATATATATATATATATGCATATATGGTGCCCCTATTTATATACATGTATATAAATTCTTTGTGTGTATATGTATTTACTGCGTTATTTTCTTAAGATATCTTCTATTTTCATTGAGAGTGTTATTATTATTGTTATGTATATATTAGAAATAGACTGTAAGAAAGATATAATTTCACTAAATTTGGTACTACTTGTTAGATATGTAATATAAAATGTTTGCTTGCGTCATTGTGTCTTCTTTATTTAGATTTTATAATTTATTATTATGACTATTATTATTATCATTATTATTTTTATTACGACTGTCATCATTATTTATTGTAATCTTATCTTTTTACATATATATATGTATATATATATATATATATATATATATATATATATATATATATATATATATTTTAAAACATATATATATATATTAAAATGGCAATAGGAAAACTGTAATAGTTGCCGACGTTTTTTTTAAAACAGTTTTTCTATTGTCATTTAAATTTATAATTATTGTCTTTTATACAGGTTAACTCTGGGAAATTTTCATATATATATATATATATATATATATATATATATATATACTAATTTATATTTTTTTTAATATATATATACATATATCAAAATATTCTAACATATATACATGTATATATATATATATTAAACATATATATATATATATATATATATATATTAAACAAGATCCTATTTTCATATTAGATAAAAAAATGGAAAAGTTTTACATAATTTTTCAAAAAATTCTTAAATAGACATTATTATTAATATTAATATTAAATGTTTTTTTTGTTTTTTTCTAAGAATACTAAAATGTATTCTTCTTAGCTGAAGACTGAGCCAGACAGAATATAGCTTCGATGGTATACGAAAAATATCGTCAATTTTCCAACTTTCATAGAATTCTCCTTTGTTTCTTTTCCTTTTCTTTTTTTTATGTCTTTTCAACTGTCTCCATTTAAGTAACTATTTCTTTTCGCACTCTGTATCTTCAATTAGGACACCACGTCTTCACTCTAGCAAATCCGTTTATACAACTGAAATTAACATTTATCCTTATCACTTTCCAAATTAAATATTTTCTTCCTCTCTCTGAATAAATACTGTTTCTTTCCTTCCCTCCCTTTCTACAGTCTTCGATCTGTATATTTAACATATTTTTTTTTATTTTTAAAGCATGGAAAAATATTGTTATTTATATTTGTGTAACGAGGCCTGAAGAGTTGCGGTTGAGTTTGCCGAAATTAACGAAATAAATATCACCTCATGGCCTTTTAAAAGTTCGTTTTCATAATAATATATGTATGAGTATTGACTGTTTAGCATGAAATAGATACGCACTATCCCTGATATTGAACCATAAATATAGCATATCTTAAAGAGATATTTTATCACACACACACACACACACACATATATATATATATGCAATTTTTATATATATGCTTATTGGAGTTTGTCTGTCGATCGCAAATAGCGTGAAACCCAGGGTCACAAACTCACATCAATCCAACTAAATATATATATATATATATATATATATATATATATATATATATGTCAGATGTATTTCGACAGCAAAAATTCTTTCAAACATGTTTGTCTGAATAACATCGATAAATTTTTGTCTATTCTATTTGTTATTAACTTTCGGCAATTTGAAAAAGTTAATTAAAAATCCTTTGTATATATATATATATATTTATAAAACATAATATATTGCACAGTCAAACTTTGTGTAGCATAGCGCGGTAAAGAACATCGACATATATATATATATATATATATATATATATATATATATATATATATATATATTAACCCGAAGAAAATTTTTGAAGGACGTAACGCGTAACGTAGGAGATTCTTTCCATTTAGTCTTTCAATTATTCACTCTTATTCTAATATTAGAATATTATTCGATATATTAAAAATTTTCTTCGGGTTAATAACAGTTTCATCGATGAGATTTTGTATTTTTAAGCAAGTGTCGAAATACAACAAATGACAATTACAACTAAAAAAAACAAACAAAAAAAAAACCGCTGACAGTACAGACAGTTTTAACATTAAATTTAACGTGGAAGTTTTTGGACATCCAACCCCCCATATATATGTATATATGAGTGCTTATCTACAGGATTTAATGCAACGCGTAGATAGCCACGAAAAGAAAAAAAATGTAGCCTCGATTTCATATTTTACTTACCAATGACAATAAAGAATAACTGCAATTGTTGTGACGATGAAAACGAAACTAAAAGCCGCTGCTGCTCCCCCAATTAAAAATGCTGTCAAAAGAAAAAAATAAGACGTGAAAACTATAATGGAAGCAATATTGAATTAACATTATTTCAGCAATTTTATTTATAATTATACTAGCCGACTTACTCATTCTGTGGGACATCATCACAGTATTTACATCGCGGGTGTCCCGAAAGACCCATTTTTAAAATATATGTATAAAGAAATTTCTATATTTATACATTCTTTTTATAGATACAAATATTTAAGTAAATGCCCAGTTTATAATAAACAACATTAACCGGCCTGAATGTCCGAGAGATTTTCATAGAAAATATTCGTCCTCCGACAGGAATCGAACCTGTATCCTACACGGAACCGTCATATAGCCTGATATGCCTTAACCGTTTCGGCCACAGAGGATCGTTCGACTACCAAGGTCGAATTTACTGTCTTTAAACTTCAGTCTTCTATGATTCTCTCACGTACATTCATATCTGCTCAAAGCGTATCCAAATGTAAACAAACGACGTCACACATTATGAAATGGAGAAAGTCCGACAATTATTTTAAGACATTTTTATGTTTATACATTCTTTTTATAGATACAAATATTTAAGTAAATACTCTGTTTTATAATAAACAGTATTAAACAACATATATATATATATATATATTTATAAAGACATTTTTTATTTATGTTTATTGTTATTTTATAGATACAAGTATTTATAAATATATTTATCAGTATTAAATAACATTTACCGGCCTGAATGTCCGCAATAAAAAATATTCGTTCATAGACAGGATTCGACCTGCATCCGCTTGCCTTGACCAAGAATATGAAAAAAAAAAAAAACTACAATCTTCCAAATCTCGACATTCAGGGAATGTAAACAAATGACATATTTATAGTTAAGGGACGAAAAAAATTTATTAAACACATTTTTTATTTATGTTTAACGTTGTTATTTTTATAGATACAAGTATTTAAGAAGAATAACAAAATAATTATTGAGAAGGATTTGAATTTTTAAGAATTAAGGCCTGAATGTCCGAGCAACAAAATATTCGTTCATAGACAGGAAACCTGATACGGAACCGCCATATACGCTGGCGTGCCTTGACCACTCATGCCAGAAGAACCTTATGGTGAGAGGTCAATTTACTGATAAACTACAATCTTCCATAATCTCGTACATTCCGGTTCTGGCGTATCGAATGTAAACAAATGACGTCATTGTTAAAAATGGACGAGGTCCGACAATTTATTTAGACCTTTTTTATTTATGTTTAACGTTGTTATTTTTATAGATACAAGTATTTAAGCAAATGCTCTGTTTATGATAAACAGTATTAAATAACATTTACCGGCCTGAATGTCTTTTCACGAAAATATTCGTTCATAATTCGAACCTGCATCCTATACGGAACCGCCATATACGCTGGCAGTTCAAGGTCGAAATTCAGCATTCATAACTGCTCTGGCGTATCGAATGTAAACAAATGACGTCATATGTTAATAAATGGACGAGGTCCGACAATTTATTTATTAAAGACATTTTTTTGTTATGAACAACATAACGTCATTTGTTTGAGATGGAAGATTGTAGTTTATAACAGTAAATTCGACCTTGAGGATGCAGGTTCGAATCCTGTCTATGAACGAATATTTTCTATTAAATATTATTTAATACTGTTTATCATAAACAGAGCATTTTGCTTAAATACTTGTATCTATAAAAATAACAACGTTAAACAATTTTCTTAACATATGACGTCATTTGTTTACATTCGTATTAATCATGTGCGAGATTCATGGAAGGCAAGTTTATAACAGTAAATTCGACCTTGTCTACCATAAGGTTCATGGTGGCCGGTGGTCCAAGAGGACAAATTTCTAAACGTTTAAGTAGATTATAATAATTATTGAAAAAGAAATTTCGTTCCAAATTTGGCTAAATCATAAACAGGCATTTTTGTCGTAATGATTGTCGGACGAAAGTGCAATTCGAATCCTGTCTAAAAGAAAAAACTAAAACATATAATAATTTATACGGTTATATATATATATATATATATATATTTATACCATTTCAACTGCCCGTAAAAATGATGAGACCTAACAAGAATTAAGAAGATAGAAAATAATTATTGAGATTGGATTTGAATTTTTTTAAGAATAAAAGGTGACTCAACAAACCGGAAGTTCCACATGCGAGAAGTGCGAGGAGAAGAAACTGTTTGCCTAGCTTCCGGTTTCATCTAATTTCAACTGTAATAATGTGAGACCTTTCCGGTAATGCTCTTCAGTTCAGGGAACAAAGTGTTTGAGACAGTTTGATAATTTGATAATACTAAACGTTTCGATTATATTATCGAAATGTTTATAGAAATGGCAAAAGGTTAGTATAAATTTACGGTTACATCTAGCCATTTCAACTGTAAAATGATGAGAAAACTGAATCTAATCGCGCTTAAATTTATAAAGTCTCGACCAAGGGAAGTTCATCAGGACAAATGTTTATAGAAATAAAGCTAAGTTGGGAGATTATTATTTATCAATAACATTGCAGAATTTTTATCAGAATATCATATATAAGAGCACCATATCGGATTTGGTAGCAATATTCAGTTGACACGAATAGTAGATTTATAAATATGTAAGATAGATTCTGGCGAGAAAAAATGTCTAGGACAACACAGAAGAAATCCTTGCATACGAATTAAGCCTCTGATAAACATATTTCGCCTTTCTGTAGTCCTGAAAAGATGCTTTGCTTCGAGATTTCTTCACATACATTTCTCATACTTGGATGACATTTAGTTATCTATGGAAAATATTTCATGCATATTGTTAACAATTCACAAACACAAACACACACTAATACATACATACACCCTTGGGCAAATTAATTGAAACAAGCTTTCATTCACCATACTGTCAGTTTTAGACAAACTGGAGTGACAGGGTGTAATCGATTTCTATTTTTTCCTCAGATTAGGTCATTTGAAGGGGTGTGCAGTAATATGAATCTATTTTCGGGGTGTATGGTGAAATTTGTTTGGTCATGAAAAATATTGCGTCATCCGTGATTGCATCAGATTTTTATCACGCTCAGACACTATTGTCCCGATTGTCGATTAGTTGTCCTACGCCCATTGTCTGCGATAGATGTTAAATTAAGGAAGCGTACGAAAATTGTAACGCTGCACGACAACATGGCAAGCCTTATCAGTGAGCAAATCAAAGTACTATAGACTGGCTTGGAAACTCTCCAGATTTAAATCCAATCAAGAATCTGTGATCAATCTGCAAGGAACAACTTTGTGGAATGGACATACAAAGTACTAACATGTGCACTGGGTCATGTTTCATTGTAAAAATCCGAATAAAAAGCAAACAATAACGGAATTCTTCGTTTTGTTTCAATTAATTTTGCACAAGGGTATATATATATATATATATATATATATATAAAGAAAAACAGACATCTTTAAGGCTCCATTTGTAATAATTTATTTCACCAGAGAATTTTATTTTTCAGACTTCACTTTCAAAAGGTGAAACGAAAAATGAATTTAAAATTTACACTTTTGACGGCCAGTATTAAGCTTATATAATTTGACATAGAAGATGGTGAGTAATAATAATAATTTCATCCTCCTTGGGATTATCCATACGGATTACCAAGATTTTCGTTGTTTAACTATATATATATATATATATATATATATATATATATATTTCTCGCTTGAACTCAGAGTTACGGTTTAAACTGAGGCTCCTAGAGCCGTCCTTGTTTGTTTTTGTCGTTATGGCTTTGTCTTCATCTGGTTTCCCATTTAGGGTTTCTTGATACGATAGACACCGAGCGCTGAAGATTTTTGTTTTTCATTTCTCTTCCTTCTTTTTTTCGTTTTCTTTCTTTTGCCAAAATTCTTATTTGTAGGGTTGGTTTTAGCTCTTTAACTTCACCCATAAATTTATTTATTCCGGCTTTATTACATACATACATATATATATATATATATATATATATATATATATATATATATATATATATATATGTGTGTGTGTGTGTGTGTGTGTGTGTTTGAAACCCAATCAATAGTCATCTGGCGGTGACAAAACGAGAGAATAGACGGTGCTTTCAAAATACTGAAACAGTCTGCTCATTCATCTTGATTAGATGCATTTATACACAGCGTGATGGTTAGCGCGATGGCTCACTAAGACATTAACATTTGAATCGAGCTAAAGTTAAAAATAAAGTGTGAAAACAAAAAAAACTTTATATATAAAAATGTGTGCTCTCTTTCTCAGACGCATACACTCACACACACATTGAGACACACGCACACATATCTTATAAGAAGTTTCTAGTTTTAGTCCATTATATCTTTGCTGTTTTATTTGTTTACTGAAATTAAAATAAAACCTATTTTTGTATATTTTAACTTTTTAAATCTTTTAATTCGATTTTTAAATAACCTGTTTCTCGTTTTTATCCTACAAATCTTAACAATCTACAGTGTAACCCGTATATAAGAGAGTTGTCGGAAACGGAGAAGAAGTCTCTTATATCCGGGTTTCTCTTATATCCGGTTTTGGTCTATTATATATACATTAACACAGGCTCTATTTTGGGACCAGAGAAAATCTCTCTTATATCCGGGTTTCTCTTATATCCGGGTTTCTCTTATATCCGGGCCTCTTATATCCGGGTTACACTGTATAAGAATTAAATGACATTTTTTGTCTTATTACATCATTTTAGTATTGAAATGGTTAGATGTATCCGTAACTTCTATGCTGATAATTTCTTCTTTCACACAGCTTCTTGCATTCCAGTCAACTTTGGTCTTCAATAATTTAAATGCAATGTCAACCGTTATCTTCTGTCTTCTTACTTCTTGATCTTTTATTGTTCTTTCTTCTTATTAATATCTTCTCATATTCTCCGATACTGAGTGACCATATGCGTCTTAGTGGATTTATTGTCTTGCTTGGTGTGAAATGATTATAAAATACGACTTGAATATT